CTATTCAGCAGAACATTCAGCATGGGAACGAGAACGTGGGCTTCAACATGCATGGCAAGGGTCCCACTGTGCTACACAGAAGCAATCGTGCCAGAAAGGTCACGTGGAAGCTACAAGAGGCTGGAGATGCTTAATGCGTGAGGGGGGTTTGTTATGTAAAGGGGCCCACAGGGTGTGAGGAAGTGTGGATTGTTTTCTTGCATGAACTTTTTCTCTGCTGTCTCTCTCTTCCCTCTGAGCTTCCTTTCTCTGAGTCTTTTTCCTGTACTACTTCTGAGACGTTATGCTCTGTTTTTGCTGTTGCTTGAATATAATAATACGTGAGTTGCTCCTTTCACTTTGAATACGTGGCAAATTACTTTTTAAAAAAATATAAGATATTAAATATTAATTAATCTTTTAAGATTTATTTCATTTAAAATTAAGAAACCATATATTTCAGTACATTATTTTAATGATTATTTAAAAAAATACAGTTAAATGAGAATTTCTAATATGATATTTCATACAACTAAACAAAATCACATCATTATTAAAAAAATCACATCACAAATATATGAGATGGACCAATTTCATCACAATTTATTCAAATTTGCTTGTTTTGTGAGATTTTTGGTTGCCAAAACTCCCTCCCTTTTTTATTTTTCAATTTTTTATTTTTAAAAATTCGTATGGGTTAAATATATAGTTATTAATTTGTAATAGGTGCAGTTTCAGTTGGAATTGTTTTTATATTAATTATATTAAAATCTACATCATAGTCCAAAAAATATTAACTTATATTACTTTTATTGGCTAGTTTATATTAAAAATGAATATTTTTATTTAAAAACTTTAATTATAATCCCTCCCAAAAACCCACGATCAGAGCCAAATTTTCAATTGCTTTCGCGCGTCTCTCTAGATTCTGTCGACCTCCCTCCCTTCCACCCATGCCCCCAAAGTTAAGCACGCCTTCCTCTGAAACCCTCTACCGAAAATGAGTGGTCACTAATTCAGGGTCATCGCTAATCTAATAAACTAATAGAAGAAATTTGTAGTGCACAATTTGTTGAATGATGTTAATCATGTGCGAGGATTCTTTAGCTTGTCTTTTTTGTCCCTTTTCTTCTCTTACTCAGAACCTTCTGCGTGTAGCTAAGTGCTTGAAATAGCATTATCACCTTTTGAATGCCCTCATTGTGGCGAGAGGTAAGCTACACACTCTACAACATGTGAGGTTCTTGGATATAAATATCCATCTTGATCTTCTTGATTGGCTATTATAAATTAATTTTTTATGGAATAGGAACAACAAAGCATAGTTTGCTGGAATTGTGAGCCAAATGATTTGAAATATTTTCATCTTCATTTTCTTATTGCTTGATTCAAGAAAATTTATGTAGATGCAGCTATATCATGATGTGTTTTAGCTTGATTAATCTATGTTTTTGTAATGGACAGTAAATTTCATGATTTATACAGATTCATTGCTTCTATAAATTTTCTATTAATTTTATGCATTTTTATAGTGGATTCATTTAGGTTGTTGCTCTGCCTCCGTCCTTGCTACCTGTCACTTTGTGCTCTTAATCCTTGAGGCTTCATTGTGTAGTTCACAACATTTTGTAGTTCACAACTAACAGGTAACCATACTTTCCAATCCCAAAGTCTGTTGTATATATATGCTTGATTTATACATATTCATTTCTTCTATAAATGATTTATATGCTTGCTTCTAAAGTCTCAGAGGGCAAAAATAAAATTTTAAGAATATGACTATAGGTCAATGATTAGAGGGTTTAATGGGATTTACATTGCATGCTTCCTTGAAGCCTAACATAGGACATAGATTGGGCCCACGGGAAGACAACCTCATGGCGGGGGCCCACCATTCGCCACTTTACGTCTCATTTCCTTCCTCAGAATCCCCCCCCCCCCAAAAAAAAAAAAAAAAAAACACACCCACCCCAAGCCCTATTTCCTTTCTTATTCAACACTCCCCCCCTCTCTTGCACTTTAAAAATTTCTTCATTTAAATAATATTGTTATTATTTCTTAATTTAAAATATTTTATTATTTATTTTTATTTATTGGTATTCATGTAAGTTGTAGCTCCCCAGATGATGGTGGTTGAAGCAATTAATACATAGCGTGTGATTGCATTGTGCCTTGCCACAATTTTTTTTAAATACAGATATTTAATTTTATTAAACTAATTTTGAATATTGTTAGAATAATCTTTTTAATATGATTTTTTTTTCATAATTAAATTCTCTCCATTTCCCTTCCTCTCTACTTCAAATCCCAACTCTTAAATTAAAATTTGAGTGGCCTAGATTTATTGTTTATCAAATATTTTTTTCATATTTATATTAACAATTTGAGGTTGGAATATTTTAATGATGAAAATATTTCAATAGTTATATTTTAATAGTTCTATTTTGAATGACTAAAGTAAGTCTTCATCCTTGGCCACAAACTAAAGTCTTCATCCCACAAACAGGGAAAACAAAAAGTAGAGGCATAAAGTACTATATACAACTTATTTAACATAAACAATCTCAAAGTTGGGAGAATCACCATAAAAATACTAATATATTCAAAATTTAAAAACATAAGACAATAATAATTGATTGCTATCATAGATGATCATAAAATTAATCTTATCCCTTATAGCTAATTTTTCTTGTTAGATGGAATGTCCTAAGCATCATCGTTGAGTATATAATAGAGTAGATGAAAGAGGTAGGTATACGGATGAATTCCTTTAAGAGGTGGAGGAATTTATTAAGTTTCCTAGCAATGGGGACGAAGGAAACAAAATAAGATGCCCATATCCATCATGTAAGAGTTTAAAGAACCCATACTATGATGTTAAAAAGCATTTATATAGGAAAGGATTTTGCCATGGAGAGGAACGGCCTCAAATGGCTCCAATTGGTGTCAACATGCATGACTTTTAATCTATATGAGAAAAAGGTCATAGACGTTGTTGGGCCATCATTTGATGAACATGTCATTTTTTGAGGGAGTTCCTAATCCAAAGTTTGCAAAGTTTTATGACTTGCGTCACTATTCACAATCCTGGGATAGGTGTGAGAATTGTAATGTCCTCACTGACATTGCCATACGCTCCACTACTATTAACATAATTACTTTGAAATCATTTAAGTTGTAAATATTGAAAGCATTGGGATCTCAATAAAAGATTTTTAGACATCATTTTATAAATCACTTGGGTTATAAAACCCCATGCACAAATACATATACAGCAAAAGCAACAAGTATTCGATACTTGAATACCAAAAGAAACATGTGCATACAAGAAAAATAAAGTGCAATTTTGCACTGTGCACCATGGCATGTGGCACAGATACCACAGTCACTCGCTCAATGTCATGTGCCAAGACATGTGGGTACATGTGCCGCGGCACACATACCTAAATTTGCTGTCAAATGGTAGTTTCTAATATGAAATTTAGATGCGCACCATTTTCACATACGATGTTCGATTAGGATAGTTAAGCACCCACACGAAGCTTGTTCCGAAATCAAACTAATGATATGGTTTCATCTCAATCTGATATTTCTATAAAAAATTGAACACTAAAGTGCATTTTGACCATTTTTTGCCAAATTTTTGTCACTTAAGTGTTTCAATTTGAAACCAATTGTCATTAGCTACTTTTTGAGCCTTGATTAAGTCCAAATAGACAATGCACACATGATTGACCACACACATGCACAATATGACACACATACACATATTTAGCCTGTAAATTGCTTATTTCACACTTTGGGCCAAAATTATATTTTCATTTGTTTATCTTATACATGCCCAAATTATCATATATATTCTCCACACATCTCATATTCATACACAATTACATTCATCCACTAACCCATCCAGTTATTTCCTAATTCACACATATACAAGGGCTAGAGAGATCAAAATCAAAAAAACACAACATTTATCACAATATGCACATGCTCAAGTCCTAAGGCAACTTATACATATTTTTGGCTAATAATTTACAAATCATTATGTCATATCTTACAAAGATTCAAGCGAGAAGTCAACTCAAATTATATTCTTTCCCTTTGACCTGCTAGTACCAGAACCTGAAAAATGTAAATAATCACGGATGAGATAAAAATCTTAATAATCAATATAGTTCATTAAATGTCTATTACCACAAATAACCATGTCAACGTAACAAAAATCATCTTATAGCATATATATGTAGTATATCATAAATAAATCATCACTTTTGCATATAAATCATGTTCCAAACACTAATACACCTTAGTATGATCAACTATCCACCGATACTCCAAAGCTCCCCAACATGAAACCATAGGCTCTTCTGGATCAACAATTTGTTGACTCGAGCTCACTGTCGGTGGTAGAAACACCTGGTTAAAGGTAATCTAACCCACTTACAAACTATGGCTTTGCTCTTTACACACTTGTGATAGAGGCATCGTTGACTCCTAACTACACTCTAATGGGCACTAGGGAGTTGTCAGACTACTCGAATGTCCCATGGTAACAGTCCCATAATATGATGTATCAGATTACATATGGTATCAGCCTGTATAATGCTGCACCGAATGTCCCATGGTGCTAGCTCGACCATATGAATTTTTCACTTATATATCTTCACACACACACATACTCCCATATATCCTAAGTGAATTCCCACCCCTTATGATTATGCTCTTTCACAATTAACACTACTCATTCACATTTCCAATTAATGGGTATGTGAGATGTCCTCATTTGTGAAAGTGTTTAGCCAATCAATAGTCATTTATCGATCATTGTCTATGAAGTGACAAAATGCTATCCTATTTTCTTTATTGGATATAATTCTCGTAGCTAAAAAATATTGATGTGTTCCATTGATAAACACTTGTCATAGCTAAAAGGATCATTTGGTTTTGATCCTCTAATAGTAGTAATTGACACTTGATTCATTCCATCAAGAATACGATCAAGAGAATTTTGAAGTTTTTCAACTACTCCAAGTTTTTTTGTCTCCTTTGTTTGCCCTCTTCCTCTTTTTGTTTGAAGAATTTGGAATTGCATTTATTTGGGTTTCATGACCTTCTTCACAACTATCTGTATCATCCTCACTAGCCAGCTTTTGTTCATTATGTTCAACACCCTCATCATGTTCATCCTCGTTATGAAGATTAGTTCCTTCATATGACAGTGGATTTTGATATGGAATTAACAGAGCTAATCCAATAGCTACTGTGCCATCAAAACACTTATCTTGTAACTCCAAGAATTTAGGTCCCCTATTCTTCCATTTCAAAATCTCTAGATCCTCCTATAATAAAATTTTAAATAAATAAATTATGTAAGTAAAAAAAATTATATATTGAATCAAAACAAAATCATACCTTGCTCTTATCAGCCCACCATTCTTCAAGAGCTTGTATGGTCTGATTTTCATGATCCCATCCAAGGCTAGATTCCTTTCTAACCAATCTTGTAAATGATCCAAAGTCCCTTACGGCATCCCATCTATTTTTTAATTGTGTGCGATCATAAGCACATCCTGTTTCTCAGAAAACTTGTTAATATGGTTCTTGCATCCATCTTTATTAACATGTATGTTTGGCCGATTCCTTGCAAGTATCTCTTTGACACATTTTTAAAATATTTCAATTCTCTTATCATCCCATTTTGCCTCATCTCTTCCATCTCCCTCGGAACCTCTCATATCTTTTTTGGATGCCATTCTAATATTTTAAAAAAATATAGTTGCGCATCAATTAAATTCAGTAAGTGTTGCATCCTGAAAAATGTGACACGGACAGCACGCGAGCGGAGGTCCCAGCTTTTGCGGCGGGAACCAGATGGAATGAGGAGTCGCCACTAAGATTTTGAGGTAAATCTCAGGAAACCAATTAAAAGGAGGATAAGGGTGGTTTGCGAAATTAGAGAATGGGTTTGGGAGTCGGTTGAGTGTGGGGAAGGTGTTAGGCACTCCACAACACCCGTTTGTCAGAACGGTTACCTGAAGTTTGTTGTGCTATATTAATATAGTTTTAAAATTATTTTAGTTATCCCTTTTATATTCATGTGTTTTAAAAAATGATAAGAATTAAGTGAGAAATATTTATTTATTTACAAGAGAGGATGGACTTGACTCAGAATCTAACTTTGAGGCCTAAATACCCTGTGATGGGGATCAAAATCTACGTAATTTGGACTTAAAAGTTTGTTGGTGAAAATATTTTTTGAATAGAAATTAATTAGAAATAATTCACCATTTTGCAAATAAAATAATTTCTGAAATTTTGATATGTCTATTTTAAATTGCAAAAGGTAATTTAATTTTAATTATTTTCTCCATTTTTGAATTTTTGGAATAAAGAAAGAAAAAGGTTTAAAATTATTATTATTTTTTTATGTTTTATGATTGAGAATTTTAACTGCTATACCTGCAAAGCTTTTTTAGTTCATACGGTAATACAATTATTCTAAGTATCTGCAGAGATTCCAAAACCTCACATGATAAAAGAATTTAACAATTTAATTTATTTATTTTTACGTGTTAATAATAGTTTGCTTAAGTATGTATATATATTTTTAAAGAATTTTAATCATCATACCTGTATAGTCTTATTGGCTTATACGGAAATATGATTTATCCTAAAAATCTGCAGAGATCCTAAAATGTCGCACGATAAAGGAATTAAATTTAATTAATTGATTTAATTAATTATATAATATATATGTATATATATATATATATTTTAAAAACTAAATCATTATATTTGCAGAGTTTTATTGACTCTTACGATAATACGATGATTTTAGAAGCTTACAGAGATTCAAAAATCTCACATGACTAAAAGATATAATTGGTAAATATGGTTACAATTTAAATACATTAATTTAGTTAAGTAAGTTTCTTAAATTGTATATTATATGATTATTTACAAAAATCACTTATTTACTATAGAGATTGAGAATCACTACATCTGTGAGGACTTATTATCCCCACGATGATGTGATTAATTTAAGTTTCTATAAAGATTCTTGAAATCTCACGTGAGACTTAAATAAATTATTAATTTAGATTATAAAAGGAGAGTTAATTTTAATATATAAGTTTTGCTCTCATATCTATGAAATCTTATTGATTTATATGACACGAAATTATCCTGACTATCTGTAGAGATTCAAAGTCTCACACGATAAAAGAATTAAATAATATTCACTTTGAATATATTTTAATGTGTAATTATATAACACATATTTTTTTAATATAGAAATCTTAATCGTTACACCTGCGAAGCCTTATTGACTCATGCGGTAGTACGATTATCTTAAAGGTCTACGGAGTTTCAAAAATCTCACATGAGCAAAAGATATAATGGGTAAATATAATTATAATTTAAATTCATTATTTTAATTAATTAAAATTATAAAATTTTTTTATTTTATTTACAAAATTCATTTATTTATTTACCATATAAATTGTGAATCACGATATCTGTGAGGATTTATTATCCTACACAAAAATGTGATTAATTTAAGTATCTACAAAGATTCTTGAAATCTCACATGAGACTTAAATATTTAGTATAAAGAGAGAATTAACTTTAATAATAGGCCTTTAAAACTCATATAAATACTTATAAAATTGATCCTCATACCTGCGAAATCTTATTGATTTCCACGATAGAGGATCATTCTGTGGGGATTTAAATTTTTTTATTATGATAATTTTTTTATGATATGGGTTATTCAAAAACGCATTCATTATGTAATCAAGATTTTTAGCTTAACAGAATCTAATTTATAAAAGTATGTCTAAGTTTTAATGATAAGCAGCCAAAATCAAATTTGTAGAGATATATCGATCACCTTCAACTATTGTACTTTATAACAAGCTATGCATACATTGAGGCTAGGAAATAATATAATATAAGGCTACATGAAGTTATGAAAAACCTGTATTAGAACCTGTGCAGAATGAAGTCCATGGATCTTTCTGCAAGTCCTTAAGCTCCTTTAAGATGTGCTTCAAAGCCATATCACTTCATCCAACTGATGGACCGAATCAGAACCTGTGCATTGCTGGCAGCCGAACCCATGTAACGGAGGGAAGAAGAAGAAGATAATCTTGTTCAGTACCCACGTGCACATGCATGCTTTGTTTTTGTGTTTTCTTCTTTTCTATGAGTGTGCTGTTAATCTCTTCGTCCCTTTACTCATGTGTTTAAATGTTAATGCATATCTGAACACCTTCACATCAGAGTACTCCATCGCTGTCCTTTGCTCCCTCACTCTTCCTCTTTTATGATCTGTTTCTATTCTCCTCTTTTCTTCCTCAGACTCGCCTCTCCCTCACATTTCTGCTATCTCTTTTTTTCTTTCATCTCTCCTCTATTTTTTTTGCTTTCTCTCTCTAGATCTTCCTCTTGCGTTGAAGGCTGTCTGTGTTCTCCTTCTCGTTCGTTCTCTTCTCTTCTTCTTTTGCTTTGTTTTTTTTCTCAGTTTTTTTTTCAGTCTGTCTCCATTTCTCTCTTCCTCCCTATTTTTTTCCCTTCCTTGGTCTCTCTCTTTTGCTTTATTTTTGTGCTCTTCTTGATTGGTTTCTCCTCTTCAGTTCCCTCTTTCTCTCAGTCTCATCTTGATGCTCTATTTTTTGCTTCCTTCTCGATCCATTCTCAGTCTCTTCCTCTTAATTTTCTCCTCTTCTTTTTTTTGTTTTTTCTTTTGTGCTTTATCGCTGAATCTTCCTCAGTTTTCTACTCTCATTCTCATGCTCTCTTTTTATATTTTTTTTTGCATTTTGTTTCTCTCCCTCTGTACTCTATTTTTCTTCCAGTTTCTTGTCTTCCCATGTCTCTAGCTCTGTTCTCTCTTTTATGCTCTCCTTTTCTTTTTTTGTTGTCTTCTTCTCTTTTATGCTCTGCCTTTTCATTTTCATGTGGCTGTGTGTTTTGCCTTTTTCTGCGTTTTTCTATGCTAGTTTCAGCTGGCATGTGGGTGCTGCATTTCTACTCTGTTTCTTCTCACTTTTTCCCTACTATAGCGTCTGCTTTCTCTACTATTCCGTTTGCATGAGTGTGTGTCTTTGCATGGCTACCTTTTTGTGTGTTATTTATATGTGTTTTTGTTTTTCCAGCACACGCCTCTGCTTTTTCTATTTCTATTTTCTTTCTGCTTTTTCCTTCTACATTTGGTCTGAGTCTGTTCTCTCCACATCTAGTTTCTTTTTCTGCTCTGCTGTCTGCTTTCCTTCGTATCTTCTCTTCATGCATGCATTCTATGCATGGCTCCATTTGCTTTCTACTTTCTGAGGGTGCGTGTGTTCTGTGTCTTCTTTTCTATTCTGCCTTCTTTATACGTGCATGTCCTGCATTCCTTTAACCATTCTTTTTAATGCTTTTTTTATTACTTAGATTAAGGGAGAGAAAGAAAAATCTAATTTTAATATATATATATATATATATTCAAATGGAAAACAAAAAGATTTAAAGAGAGAAATTTAAAATAGTTGAGTCTCAAAAAATTGATTCCCAATATCTTTGAATTGTTGGGATAATTTGAGAGAGATTTTTTTAAAAAATTTAAGTAATATTTTTTTTTTGAAAATATAATCTTAAAAAAGGATTAAATTTTATTTTTGTATTTTTTATATTTTTTGATTATTTATTATTAAATTAAAAAATGCCCGGACAAAATACGGTGTTCACAGTTACCCCTCTTTACTTGTTTCTTATGTAAGTATATGAAAAAGTGTGCTTTTGAATTCTTACATAAGTGACAAGTAAAGATAGAACATGTATTTTGGTTGGCCATGCAATACCTATGAAAAGACCTAATTGCCCCTGACACGACAAGATATGATTAAATGCAAGACTATTGTATAACAAACACAGTGACATAATTTTTTTTAATAATGTGATGCAAATAAAAATGATCAAATAACATAAAAGAATGCAAGACTATAGGATAACAAACACAATAAAATAATTTTTTATTATTTTTTTAGCAATGTGATACAAATCAAAATGACCAAATGATGCAAGACTATTGGATAACAAATACTATAACATAATAATTTTTTTTTTGGTTTAGCAATGTGATATGAATGAAAATAACCAAATAACATAAAAGAATGCAAGACTATTGGATAACAAACACAGTAAAATGATTTTTGAATTTTTAATTTTTTTTGTTTTAGCAATGTGATATAAATGAAAATAGCTAAATGACAAAGATCCAAACAAAATATATGTTGACTAGATGCCCCCTCTTCATTTGATTTCTAAGTAAGAATTTCATGAGATGATATTCTTATCTTAGAAATGAATGAAGAGAGAAACATGTATTTTGTTTGGAGGGGCAAGACTCTTAGGTACCTACAACTAAACAAAAAAATAAAATAAAATAAAAAAAGGGTTTAAAATGAAATGTGATTTAGGAATTAAACAAAACAAACCTCAATAGAGATGAATTGCCTATGTTCCAAAGGACCTGGTGGATGCTTGCCTTTATAAGGCTTGGAGGGTGCCTGCCATGGCAGGGCTTTTAAGGAATTGTGCTAGCCGGTACTGGGCTTTGGGGTGCCTGTCGTGATAGGGCTTTTAAGGAATTGTGCCAGTCGGTACTGGGCTTTGAGGTGCCTGTCATGATAGGGCTTTTAAGGAATTGTGCCAGCCGGTGCTAGGCTTTGGGGTGCCTGCCATGACAAGGCTTTTAAAGAATTGTGCCAACCGATACTAGGCTTTGGGGTGCCTGTCGTGACAGGGATTTTAAAGAATTATGCCAGCTGGTACTGGGCTTTGGGGTGCTTGCCTTGACAGGGCTTTTAAAGAATTGTGCTAGCCGGTATTGGGCTTTAGGGTGCCTGCCGTGATAGGGCTTTGAGGGTGCCTGCCATTATAGGGTTTTAAAAGAATCGTGCTAGCCAGTACTGGGCTTTGGGATGCCTGCCGTCACAGGGCTTTAGGGTGCCTGCTGTTACAGGGCTTTAAAGAATTATGCCAGCCGGTATTAGGCTTTGAGGTGCTTGTCATGACAGGACTTTGGGGTGCTTGTCGTTACAGGACTTTAAAAGAATCATGCCAGCCGGTACTGGGCTTTGGGGTACTTGCCGTTACAGGGCTTTAAAGAATCATGCCAGCTAGTATTGGGCTTTGGGGTGCCTACTGTGACAGGGCTTTTAAAGAATTGTACCAGCTGGTACTGGGCCTTGGGGTGCCTGCTGTTACAAGGCTTTTAAGAATCATGCCAGCTGGTACTGGGCTTTTGGGGTGCCTGCCGTGATAGGACTTTGGGGTGCTTACCGTTACAGGGCTTTTAAAGAATTGTGCCAACCAGTACTAAGCTTTGGGATGCCTGCTATTATAGGGCTTTGGGGTGCCTGCCATTACAGGGCTTTTAAAGAATTGTGCCAGCCGGTACTGGGCTTTGGGGTGCCTGCCGTTGTAGGGCTTTAAAGAATCATGCCAGCCGGTATTGGGCTTTGGGGTGCCTGCCGTTACAGGGCTTTTAAAGAATCGTGCCAGTCGGTACTGGGCTTTGGGTGCCTGCCATTACAGGGCTTTAAAGAATTGTGCCAGCCAGTACTGAGCTTTGAGGTGCCTATTATGACAGGGCTTTGGGGTGCCTGCCGTTATAGGGCTTTAAAGAATCATGCCAGCTGGTACTGGACTTTAGGATGCCTGCCGTTACAGGGCTTTTAAAGAATTGTGCCAACCAATACTGGGCTTTGAGGGTACGAGAATAGGTTTTATCTCACGTGGAAAATATGAGAAACTTATAGGTGAGGTTTGTTATTTCTTCTCTTACTTCCATGGGTTTCGCAATTTTTGGTTTGCCCCAATCCAAATGGGGCATACTTTCTGTGGCAATGCATGCAATGGGGTGATATGCAATGCATGATATTTTTTTTATTTGCCCTAATCTAAGTGAAGGCAAATTTTTATGTTAAGCATGTAATGGATGGAAGATGCATAATGCATGATGTTTTGATCAAAAGTTTAATTTTTTCATGCCTCCAATTTAAATTGTGGCAATTTTGATGTAATGCATGCTATAAGTGATATGGAAGAGTAAATGATTTGCTTTTGATTTGCCCCAATCTAAATTGTGGCAACTTTTATGTGAAATATGCAATGGGTGCATAATGGATGATTGACTATTTTTTTTTAAAAAAATTCAAGTCCTCATTTACCCTAATCTAAATTGAGGCTCACTTTGTTGTAAAAGATGCAATTTTTCAATTCATGGGAAGATATAGAATGCTCAATGCATTGTATTATAAATGTATTTCTTTTGTTTGCAGGATTTTGATGCAAGAGGGAAACAACACTTGAAATTAGCAAAATGCTAGGGTTCTCTTGGTCATTTGCAATAGGAAAGTTGTTGGTCTCCCCAATGAATTGCAAGTTAATGACTTAACAACTTTTGCCACAAGAATTGGACACTAAGTGGTCACACTTTTAGATATTTAAAACTGTTTATTTCTCCCATATTGAGAATTTTCAAGGAAATTTGTTTGCCCATATAAAATGCTTGTTAGACATGGATGTTTCATCTTTTCTATCTTTATCATTAATGTTTGTATGATCAATAAGTGAAGTTGGCACTAATTTTTATTTAACAATGTCAATGTAAACAATCATTATAAATAAAAGGTCGTGTCTGAAAATGAAATAGAGTGGCCAATCAATGAAATATTGGGAATATTTAGAGGCATCTCTATTAGGTACAGGAACATATGAAGATAGGCATCCTATGGATAAGCCAAACTGTGAAGTGGAAAGTAAGGGAATGGTAAAATTGAGGACTACCTAAATTTTATATGATGTGTCTTTGGATAGTATAGAGATAAAAGGGAATGAATATAGAAATTAAAAGGAGGGTCCCCTTTTTGTTTTGTATGTCCGTTTGAAAATGACACAATTTTCGAGTAAAAGATCTTATGTTGAGCTATAAGCTTTCCCCAATTTCAACAATCTACATCTTGGAATGATCTCTATTAAGAAAATTGCCTCGATTATATTCAAACAAGTCAAA